GTTTTATTTTAATTTAAGTAAATATTAAAAATAATATTTTTATGAAAAAATATTACAAATTAAAAAATGAAATCACCAAAAGAATTAACCAAAAATGTTCAAATTAAAATGAAAAAAAATGAAATTGAGATAGATAGAGAGAGAGAGTGAGAGAGAAAGAGAGAGAGAGTTGTTGAGATGACAGATGAGGGCGACATGTTAAAGTAGAAGGGTGAAAGAGGTACCATGCAACTAAACACCTGAAAGAAGATTCATCTGATGAATTCTGATCATTTCACTTGTATATCAGTCTTACTGTGTGCTATTGAATTTGGAAACATTTTAAAATATGCAATGATTTACTTATAGTGTTGGGCATACACAATATACCTTTACAGTATATGTAAATGCTGAGTAAAGCACAGCTATAAAGCCTTCCAAATTATTTTGCATTTAACTTCTTTAAAGTACTTCAAATAGCATGTAAGTTTAGAGGATTTTTGACAACATGCTTATTAGGGCTGTGTGATATTGAAGAAAAATGTGATATGCGATACCTTGTTAAAAAATGCGATATTCGATATGCGATACTATATTGCTTAAAGTGTGTAAAATCAATTTAAATTATATTGTCAAATATTTAAAAATGAAAATTTTTATAACCAATTTGTTTCACATTCTTTCTTGGAAAAGAAAGAATCACTATAACTTCTGAAAGTGACCAGCAGTGTTTTAGCATTACTTAAAAATTTATGTCACAAATCAGAAAATGACATTTTAACATCAGTGTGAACATACAACCCAAAAAATTAATGACACTAATTTTATATCATTGTAACTGCTTTCCATACACTTTAAGTACTTCTTCATATACCACGGCAAAAATAATAGTCTGAGAAAGTTCATTAAAGACGTTTTTGATGGAAAAACATGATTAAAGGCAAGTGAACAGTCAGTAAAAAAAAGAATTTACAAGCATAGATCAAATAAAGTAGTATTCAGGTACCGAAATTTAATAATTAAGTGTAAAATAACACTACATTGTGTTCACTGTATGAATTAAATTTAGATTAATCTTTGTTATAACTGTTTTGTTGTTTGATTAACTTTAGTGACATATTCAGCAGCAGGCATTTATAGGCTGCTGTCCCTTTAAATCCGACTGCATGGATCCAGTATAATGATACACATCCGATTTCTTTCTCAGCTGTTTACATTAATTTAAAACATAACTGACTGCGCTTACGAGAATGGTCGTCGAGACGGGTACTATTGACATAATTCTGTGTATATGTGTCTGTTCAAACATAAGGAGGAGGAGATGCAAAAGACGAATCAACTCGGTGTTCGCACGCCGTCTGAAACGCGTCTCTGTGTGCGGCTTGTGTTGTGAGTGCTTCAGGTGTGAGGCTGTCAGACAGCAAGACCAGACGCAAAGAGTTGTTTTCTGCAACTTATTGCACTTAATAACTCTTTTTAACGTCAAGCAATTCTCTGCTATATGCGTCAAACTAAAACTTTGACCTTTTGCTTTACACGTCATTACCCCTGTGATCAAGAAGGCGGCATGTCATCATTGATAAGTTAATAAGAAACCAGCAGCAGCCTCTTTTCATCTTTTAATAAGGTGCAAGAGGGTCCTAACAAGGAGAAAAGCAGTACTAAAAATATATTATATTTAATTATATTATATTATATTATGTAATTGTTTGTTTTATTTTAATTTAAGTAAATATTAAAAATAATATTTTTATGAAAAAATATTACAAATTAAAAAATGAAATCACCAAAAGAATTAACCAAAAATGTTCAAATTAAAATGAAAAAAAATGAAATTGAGATAGATAGAGAGAGAGAGTGAGAGAGAAAGAGAGAGAGAGTTGTTGAGATGACAGATGAGGGCGACATGTTAAAGTAGAAGGGTGAAAGAGGTACCATGCAACTAAACACCTGAAAGAAGATTCATCTGATGAATTCTGATCATTTCACTTGTATATCAGTCTTACTGTGTGCTATTGAATTTGGAAACATTTTAAAATATGCAATGATTTACTTATAGTGTTGGGCATACACAATATACCTTTACAGTATATGTAAATGCTGAGTAAAGCACAGCTATAAAGCCTTCCAAATTATTTTGCATTTAACTTCTTTAAAGTACTTCAAATAGTATGTAAGTTTAGAGGATTTTTGACAACATGCTTATTAGGGCTGTGTGATATTGAAGAAAAATGTGATATGCGATACCTTGTTAAAAAATGCGATATTCGATATGCGATACTATATTGCTTAAAGTGTGTAAAATCAATTTAAATTATATTGTCAAATATTTAAAAATGAAAATTTTTATAACCAATTTGTTTCACATTCTTTCTTGGAAAAGAAAGAATCACTATAACTTCTGAAAGTGACCAGCAGTGTTTTAGCATTACTTAAAAATTTATGTCACAAATCAGAAAATGACATTTTAACATCAGTGTGAACATACAACCCAAAAAATTAATGACACTAATTTTATATCATTGTAACTGCTTTCCATACACTTTAAGTACTTCTTCATATACCACGGCAAAAATAATAGTCTGAGAAAGTTCATTAAAGACGTTTTTGATGGAAAAACATGATTAAAGGCAAGTGAACAGTCAGTAAAAAAAAGAATTTACAAGCATAGATCAAATAAAGTAGTATTCAGGTACCGAAATTTAATAATTAAGTGTAAAATAACACTACATTGTGTTCACTGTATGAATTAAATTTAGATTAATCTTTGTTATAACTGTTTTGTTGTTTGATTAACTTTAGTGACATATTCAGCAGCAGGCATTTATAGGCTGCTGTCCCTTTAAATCCGACTGCATGGATCCAGTATAATGATACACATCCGATTTCTTTCTCAGCTGTTTACATTAATTTAAAACATAACTGACTGCGCTTACGAGAATGGTCGTCGAGACGGGTACTATTGACATAATTCTGTGTATATGTGTCTGTTCAAACATAAGGAGGAGGAGATGCAAAAGACGAATCAACTCGGTGTTCGCACGCCGTCTGAAACGCGTCTCTGTGTGCGGCTTGTGTTGTGAGTGCTTCAGGTGTGAGGCTGTCAGACAGCAAGACCAGACGCAAAGAGTTGTTTTCTGCAACTTATTGCACTTAATAACTCTTTTTAACGTCAAGCAATTCTCTGCTATATGCGTCAAACTAAAACTTTGACCTTTTGCAACTTTTGATTTAAGTAACCTATTAAAATGATTCAGATATCGCACGCCTTTGTGATTTGCGATATTTGCGATATACCGTGCAGCCCTAATGCTTATCTTAAAATATATGCAGGCTCGAGAGAATTTGCAAGGTCTCGTATGATCATCTTTCCTCTTCTAATAATTTGTTGTCAAAAGATTGTGTAGAGCAGCTGCTAAACCCTTTGTCACTGTAAAGTTTTTCCTGTGAGATGTTAAGCTGTGCACAAGAGCCTGGAGAGTCACAGAATGACAATAATGTCCAAGGTGCCCTCTCCTCATCCTGTCGCCCATTAGTCTTTCCTCTGTACCTTTAATCTCGGCTTTCTCAGAGTATGCGCAACTCACACTCTGTCAAAATAACCCTCCATCAAATCAGCATTGTGGTGACATTTTTAGCTTGTGTACTGTCACCAGCACTGTAAATACTGCAGGTCTTAAGTACGTAGACTGTGTTTGAAGTGTCTAGAAAGTTGTCTGGTTGCATCACCAGGTGCATTCCATAGTCTGAGATGAATTATTTATTACATTTTAGACACTGCACACACACACACACGTTCATGAAGCGTTCATCTAAATGGGGACATTCCGTAGACTTCTGTTGTTTTCATACAGCTATAGTTAGAAACAGTAACCAATCCTGACAGAACTCTTGACAGACAGAAATACATATATATACAATACATATATATATATATATATATATATATATATATATATATATACTTTATTTTTTTTATTTAT